GCAAAAAGATCGTCGTTAAGCGGTTTCGTCATAATGCGGGACAGTTGTAAAGCGAGGCACCAACGTACGTCCAAAAATGTCTCATTAAATGGTAGGTCTTCAGGGTAAGCTTGATGAGAACAAGGTTTTTTCTGCTCCCTTGCTTGGGTTATTTCTCGTTGAGGCATCAGCAACTGAAGCACCTTGGATCAAACTGACCTTACTTTAATAGCAGAACGTAAGATTAATGCTAGCAATACTAGAAAAGCAAGGAGATGAAATTGGAGGGGTGCACTGTGGGTAAACTCTGTATTTACATCTTACTAAGTTTCCATTTAGTATGCTTTGAGCAGTCTCACAGTAAAATTGTAACCAAGTAAGCAAAAAGTCTGGTTCAACATTTTTTTGGTTGATTATTTCTAAGATGAAGGAGGAGTTCAAGTTGGCAGTGCTGAAAATGAAAAAAAAGAAAGTACAACAACTGCCTTGATTGTGGTACAGATCAGGGAGATGTTAAAAAACAATCTCACTTCAGGTCAAGATGATAGCAGGCCCGTGTGTAGTTCTCATTTTTTAAAAACATATACAGTGGTGCCTCGCTTGACGATGTTAATTCGTTCCAGCGAAATTGCTGTAGAGCGAAAATGTTGTAAAACAAAATAAAAAAGCCCATTGAAATGCATTGAAAACCATTCAATGCGTTCCAGTGGGCTGAATACCTGCTCGTCCAGCGAAGATCCTCCATACGGCAGCCATTTTCGGGTACCTGTCTTGCAAAAAATGCCTCCTAAGAACAGCGGGGAGCCATTTTGAGCAGCCGGCAGCCATTTTGAAAACCCAACGATCAGCTGTTTTGATTGCCCTAATGTGAAGAATCGGTTCCTGAAACAGGGAACTGATTGTCGCAAAGCGAAAAAAACCCCATTAAAACATCATTTTGCCATCGCAAAAACATCATTGTGAAATAGATTCATCGTTATACGGGGCATGACTGTACCAATAGATGAGTCTGTTGTGGATGTTCACCTTAAAGTTTGTCTCTGGTAATGACTTAAGATCTTTGCCTCAATCATAGGAGCTGTTCTACTTAATGCCTGCCAAAAGACATTCTCTGAGTAACATGAAGTACATAGTGGTATGTAGAGATGGGCACAAACTGCCACATCTGTGGTTTGTGCTGGTTCGTCCTTTAGATGAATGGGTGTTTGGTCCTTCCCAGCCCTGACTTCCCCCGGTAGACACCCCAGTTTCCCTGCCCTGCATCCTCCCGGCGTTGCCTCTGAGTGGCTGCCTGCCGGGGAAAGTGGGACTTGGAAGTGTGCTTGTTTGTGCCTGTCTCTAGTGGTGTACCTTTTAAATGCTCCCAGAATATTTTCTAATGTGTGGCAAACATAATCTTTATTTTTATGTACAAAGATAGTTTTCTTTTACACCTGTAGCGGGCCACTCTGAAGCCTCTGTCAACTCAGGCCTCCCAGAGTGCTCACTACTCTTCTTCAAACTGCTGCCACCAACTTTATTCAGTAATCACAAAGGACAATTGTTTCTTCTAAAACAACACGTTGTTTATTGATTTGACAAAATAAAAAGGAGTGAATCACAGGTGGTAAATCAAGTTGTAAATCAAGTTTCTCATTTAATGTACCTCACACAGACTTTTCCCTCACTGATTATCTCTCAAAAATCTATCTCACTCTGTCAACCAATTTCTCTCATCTCCAAAACTCCCCCCTCACACATCACACACACCCCTTATATAATCCAGCTCCTCCCCCTTCTGCACCACCTTCCGTCCTCTCATTGGCTGATGTTCTCCTGCCCAGCTGTGACGGACAGGTGAGAGCAGAGCTGTTATGTAACAACACTTTTCTTCTTTTGAATAACAAACTGGCTATCTTTCTCAGCCTTAATAGAAGAGCAATTTTGTTTGTTTGTTTATTGTTAGATTTTTATCCCGCCCTTCTAAACAGGAGTCTACTCAGGGCGGCTCACAATATATTGTGCATAAAACGGATTTTAAAAACAACAATTAAAATCTACAGTAATAATGTAATCAAGATGGGAAGATAACAACAAAAAAAGTGGAAATCAAGTATTGGCAGGAAGGAAGGCCTGCCTGAAGAGCCAAGTTTTTAATTGGGTCTTGAAAACACCCAGCGAAAGTGTTAGGCAGATCTCTGGTGGCAAGCTGTTCCAAAGTCGAGGGGCCACTGCCGAGAAGCCTGGTTCCTTGTTCTTTCTTTCCGGGCCTCTCTCGGCGTCAGGCCCCCTCAGCCGTCTTTCCTGGCTATAGCGAGTGACTCGAGTCACTCGCAATGAGTGTGAAGGCAGACGTGGTTGCAGGTGTGTATGCAGTGGTGGTAGGGCATAGTCCCACTACCACCCTTTTCTCAAAGTGCCCTTCTAGTAGAATTAGTTGTCAAGCCAAAGAGCCACAGTACAAATCTAGTGCTATTGTTCTTTGGATGGAATTGCTGTTTGCCGGTGCAAGACTGTGCTGTGCCAGTCTCACTATAAATTATAAGAGGACAGGAAGTTTGAGTGATGACTTTGTTCCTTGCCTCTCGGATATCTGTGGGGAGGGGGACAGAATGAGGAGATAGTATATCAGAAGCCCTCAGAGCCTGAAACACCCACCCATACTCTGGAGAATGCATAGCAGTGCATGGGTTTGAACTTGACTATGGGTTGTTTGTATTTAGGCCCCAGTATGTTACTGCTTTTTATAAGATAGAAAATTGTTTCATATCCGCAGTATGTGGAATTCAGTCCTTAGTTCTAATCTAGGAACATCTGTTTTTATTGGAAAATTGTCAAGCTTTCATTTGTGTATATGAACGTGAATTTGAAAACTCTTCTTCTTCACGAACCATCCAGTTAAAACATGTCAAACCGTAGGTGCTTCCTTTGGGCTTAATGTGATAAAGATCCAGAGTTATGCTCATGTGCCTTATGGAACTTGGGCCAACATTGTGTTTCCCTGTTTTGCATAGGAAGATCCCATAGAAAGTAAGAATGAGAAAGGTCTAGTTCTGATGTGCCAGTTCACATTTCTGGAGGACAGAGCAGTTTGTATAGAGCTTTGTTTCAAAAATCCAAAGACTTCAGAAGCCTTTCAGTACCCTAGTGTTTCAGTAAAATGTATTCTTCCTCATAATTTGAAATGCAGTGTTACATCATGATGTATCACTCGTTTTTAGTGTCTTTTAATCGCTAAATGGTTGTTTGTCTATCTCCAAACCACTGCCCTTTTTCTTTTTCTTGTCTTAGTGATTTACAACATCCCGACTATATTCTGGATACTTTGTAAACCCAAATTGACAGTGATAAATACTTCCATTTGACAAACTCCGCTGTTTTATTAAAAGTGAATACTGGCGAGTGAGGAAAATGGCTGTATACAATTTTCCTGTCAGAGAACACAGATGGGAAGATAAAGTAATTTTACTTTCTACTTGTACACATTGTGCTGTAAAGATTCAGCAGTTTTGCTTATCTGCGTGATGCAAACTGGGCTATCGGTGGTCCGGAAAAGAGCTTGCTTTATCTTTACATATGTACCATTTCTTTTGGTTTTCTTTCTAACAATCAGAAGTTTACATTTAGGAATCACTGTAAACTACTGTTGGTAGTTTTTCATATCACAATCCTCTTTTAAAGGTTCATAAAAGAATCTATAATAGTCCGAAATCAAGTACCAAAACATAATAAAATCCTGCTATGAGCCTTCAGTACATATTCTTATCAGATCACCGTCCCTTTTTAAAGTCTGAAACTTGTTACAGCTCCTTTGCTTGTCAGGGATTGTCTGTATCTTTGCCAGGCTAGATCCTGTATATTTCTAGAGCCTGCAGAAACCTGACATATTATGTAGCGACTTGGGCTGTGTTGTGGTTTTGAACATGGTGTTGATTAATCTGTTCTCCCCCCCCCCAGGTTTTAATAGCATTTGTTTTTATGTGAATGTTGCTGATGGCTGTCGCATGTGCCATTTTTGGCAGAATGACAGCTTATACATTTAATGAATTAATGGTGACTGAAGCTACCTCAGTCCCAGAAGCTGTCAGATATAAGAATATGTGCTATGAATTATTTTAACATTTATTTGTCACAACTGCTTTATGCATTTTACATGTATGACTAGTAAATGAAATTATTTATTTGATTTGATTAACAGGGTTGTTCAGAAAACAGTTAATTGAACAAGCAATATAAGCAACAAGACACTCCAGAAAAAAAAAATGTCTCTATGTCCACTGTCTACTTATTGAGGGTTAATGATATATTTGCAAAGAGAAGCTGTCCAGGAGGCAAGCGAGCAAGGCCTCATAATTTGGTAGTACCTGGTAGTGCCCTTTTATCTTCCTCTATGCTTCAAAGTGGACACTTGTCTTTTTGCCTCTCGCTGTCTCAGTATGGCTGCCTTCTACTGAGTCAAAATACTCGTCTATGTTAAATCTGGCAGTTCACAGAGATGTGATTTTCAAGAACTTTGCTTTTAAGAACTACTGCTCCAGAAGCTCCCAGTTTTAATATAAAAATGGCACTTTCCCAATACCTGTTTTTCCCCCCCAAATCTGCTTCCCTCAGCTCCTCAGACAAAGATAAAAGGAAACGAACCAAGGATATTGTATGCGTAAAGTGCAAATGCACACACACACATATAGATGGCAACTGGAATAAAACCTACTGTAAAGTGAAAAACAGCTGCCTCTTTCCTTGTCTTGTAATTGCACATGACCTAACACAGAGAAATAACCTTTGTGTGAAAAGTTGCTTTAAACTAGAGCACTGGTTCTTAACCTTGGGTTACTCAGGAGTTTTGGACTGCAACTCCCAGAAGCCTTCACCACCAGCTGTCCTGACTGGGGTTTCTGGGAGTTGCAGTTCAAAAGCATCCGAGTAACAAAGGTAAAGAACCACTGAACTGGAGGATTTCAAGACATGGGGATTGTTCATTGTGTCACATAAATCTTATGAACTGGATCTTTTAACTGAAAATTGTTATGTTTTTCTTCCAGTATTTTGGATAACGATGACAAAATATACAGTACTGATTGTGAATCTGCAAGCAAGAAAAGAAAGAAAGATCACTTTAGAAACAATGTCAACTCTCAGTGTAAGTCAGAATTCCTTTTCTGGTTGGTTTTTTGTTTTCCTTCTGGTATAGCATTTAAGATTGTCGGTACAAATACAACCTTGTATTTCAGCAGAACCTGTATACAAATGCAATATGTACAGAGTACTTTGGCATATGAGAAATACAAACTATCCAAATTACTTTGTTAGTTTAAAAAGAAATCTGTGAATCTTTGAATTCTGAAAACCCCATTCGCACTCAATTCCTTGATCGTCTTGTTAAAGCATGTGTCACTTTTTGGCCAAAGGGAGGGGAGATATCTCTCTGGAAGTCTGCCTCCTTTCTTCCACGTCCCTTATTTCTTTCATGCCATGTCTTATATTTTTGATAATGAGCCTCAAGAGTGAAAAATGTTTTGTTATCTGTATTGCAAGCTCCTCCAGAGGCCTTTT